TGCTGAGCAAAAAGTAAGTATTGATAGGTTACCCACCCCACTCAGTGATTTGTTAGAAGTCGGCGCCATAACTTATATACAAAATTATTCATTAAAACCTTTATTGTTACCTTATTTACAATTTAGTGGCCATTAAGGTATATCATTATGATATGAGCTTATGGCACCGACTTCTAACCTATCAGTGCGAACCAATCAGGACCAATAATAGTTAATTTTTGCTTTTTAGTTTTTACCATTTGTTTGTAATTAGTTTTTTGGTTTTTTGAAGTCGGGTTTTCAAACGCAGTTTGTATATTTTTATTTTATCATTTTTAGTGTAAAGGTACGTAGATCCGTTTTGCCACTCATGATCCACATCTTAGGTGAAAAGTTCTAATCAATACAAATTAATCAAGCCCAAACACAAGGTAGTTAATGTCAACCGTTGAGGAGTTCCCTCGACTGTCTGTCGGCTCCATCATCAGGTCGACTCCAGACCCTTATCAAATTGTAGTATTTAAAAAACATAATTTAAAATATAACAGACGTATTACTCGCCCCTACAAGTTTCGAAATTTCCCCTCGGTTTCCCTAGGATTCCATCATCAGATCCAGACCTCATGGAAATTCGGTTCACAAAAAAAAACGATCAGCCGAACATAGTCTTTTGTGATGTCAGTAAAAAGGATGGGATAAGGAATTAAGTAACGAGAGTACATAAAAAATATTTTTTTTATTTATAGATAATATATTTTTGTCAAAGAACCTTGAGCTAGTTTTTCTAATTAAGGTCATGACAATAAGTACCTAATAAGTGAATGCCCTTTGATTAGTAACATGAATGATAATTATAATAAAATTATGTATAATAATTCAAAACCATGTATAACTAAAACTAAAAATTTGACGTAATATTGCAAAACGAGGAAGTAATTTACAACTGATATTTCCAGTAACCCCGAGTACCTATTCGTTGAGACTTACCTCGTCGTTATATGGCCTATAGTAATCTTCGGCAGCATCATAACGCCTAAAACCTAACCCACCCCATCCTCTACCTACATTAAATATTCCCCCTCCTCCTCCCCCCATTCCTGCTCCTCCCAGGAGTCGTGCTCCTCCCCCTATTCCTGCTCCTCCGCCTATTGCTGCTCCTCCCCCTATTTCTGCTCCTCCCCCTATTCCTGCTCCTCCCAAGATTCCTGCTCCTCCCAAGATTCCTGCTCCTCCGCCTATTGCTGCTCCTCCGCCTATTGCTGCTCCTCCGCCTATTGCTGCTCCTCCGCCTATTGCTGCTCCTCCCCCTATTTCTGCTCCTCCTATGATTCCTCCTCCTCCCAAGATTCCTCCTCCTCCCAAGATTCCTCCTCCTCCCAAGATTCCTCCTCCTCCCAAGATTCCTCCTCCTCCCAAGATTGCTGCTCCTCCCTTGATTCCTGCTCCTCCCAAGATTCCTGCTCCTCCCTTGATTCCTGCTCCTCCCTTGATTCCTGCTCCTCCCGCTATTCCTGCCTCTCCCGCTATTCCTGCCCCTCCCGCTATTTCTGCCCCTCCCGCTATTCCTGCCCCTCCCGCTATTCCTGACCCTCCCTGTATGAATGCCCCTCCCTCTATTCCTGCTTCTGCGTTGATTCCTGCCTCTCCCTGCACTCCTCCCCCTCCCCCGAAGTCAAATATTCCGTCAAAATCCTTAAAATGATTAGTGTTTGAATAAATTGAATTTTGAGCATTCCACTGGGAAGACGTGAAATTATTCTTTTGAATACTAGTCTGCGTTTGAGTGTTTGAATTTGCCTGTGAGTTGGCTTCTGATTGAAAATTATTGTTTTTATTATTCTGTACAGTATTCTGAAAGTTATGACTATAAGTATTCTCATACTGTGAGTTCTTTTCAGTTTTCGAATGCCAATTTGTCTGAGTTTCATTTTTTTGGTGAATAATAACATGTTTTCTATTATAATTATTTGTTTCTATTTTTGTTATTATTGCTGCTATTTGCAGCTCCGCCTTCACCTGTGCCTCTGCCATTAAAATTATCCGCTGTTCTTTTGTAATTTTGGATTTACCTTTTATTAGCTCAGCGTAGATAAGCGCTTGTAACTCTGTCTCTATTTGCGATATACTTCTCTTTTCATTTAGTGCTGCCTGGATTACCGCATATAAATTTGACTGTTCTTGTACTTGAGCTTCATATTTTTTTTCTATTGCCCGGATCAGCGCTTCTAAATTTTCCTGTTTTTGTGATTTAGCTTTATTATCTTCTATTACTGCTTTGATTAGCGCTTGTATTCCTGCCTCGGTCATAGAATAAATAGACTCGAAATTAATTCCATATTCACTCGTAACGTCGACGTTAGTATCGGCCATGAAAGTTTGGACATATTTGACGTAAGATTTGATAAGACTTTCTATACTAAATACTCCTAAGTTATTGAAATTGACGATTAAGTGTTTACCACCATCTGTGCTAGAGAAACAGATTGTGCTTGCGGGATTTTTATTTATATTTTTATTAGTGTTACACGGGCATTTCTTATCTGTAAATGATGGAATATACACAGTTCCGAACGTAGGCTGGGCTTCAGAATAGCCTTGTTCGTCGGATTTTCTTATGGAATCGTTTGGTAAATCGTTTTCATAATTAAATCCAAACGACGGTCGTCTAAATCCGGCTTGTTCATGATATTGGCTACTTTGTCTGCCGTAGTAGTTCCTTAACATGTAAGGTCGCTCTCTAGCAGTGTTCGATTTCCTATATAGATTCTGGTAATTATTTTCTTCATAATTACTTGAACCGAGACCGTAAGAGTCACTTTGATACTCGGTACTACAAGCAATATGTAGCAGGATAAAAATTATCTGAAATAGACATAAATACACAATTTTAAATATCTACGTAGTGCGTAATGATATCTGCCAGTATTAGTGTTAATAATTAATTATTGATATATTGATAACAAATTAAAACTAAAATCACTTAAATCAAACCAGTGGTTTTTTATTGATGTTTTTGTAGTTCGATCGGAAATTTTTCACAAGAACTGAAAATGTTGAATACCTCAGAAACTAGTTTCGGACCAGAGACCTCAGGGCTAATTTTGAAGGAAATTAGTTGTTTTATCACCTCCCGAGAAGAATACGTCGAGTTACAAGTCACCCTATATACATACATACAGGTCAAATTTAGAACCTCCGGTTTTTGAAGTCGGTTAACAATAAATAAGATCATTCCCCATAGCACAGTGCTACTCCATAGATTTTAAATAAAATGACTATAACCTCGTGTTTCATGGTGCAGTTACTTTCATTTTGACTGTCGATAAAGCGAAAGAGGTTTGTGAATCGTAGCAATTTGAGTTCTATAGTCGTGCTTACCCCCATGAGAGGCAGGCGTGAGTTATGAAAGTGACATACAAGCCACTTTCATTTTCGATTTTATAAAATTAACTACTGGAGATTTAAATTCTATCCTAAGTCTAACATTGTGGAATATAATAAAAGATTGAGTTTGACTTTTTAGTTTACTTAATTAATCGATATAGTAGAAGGAGTGTCTCTAGCCAAGACGAACATTTCAAAAAATATGAGTAGAGTTTATCACTTACCAGAATTTGATAGGGGAGTAGTAACAGCATAGTTGTACCGGTGTCCTGCGCCACAGCCTCTCTGAACTCGTGTCGTGGTCAGGGGGAGTATGGCACGACAAAGTGGTGAAGAAATTAATTAAAATTACAATATATTGTAACCGTAGTATTAATTGCAATTCACCACGGTCATTCAAGCAAATAATTATAATAATATGCATAATCAAGTGATAAGAAAATTAATTAATTTAGGAAAAATAAATAACTGGCTTTGTCTGCTATTTTTCTAAATTTTTTATACACACACACACACACACACACACACACACACACACACAAACATACACAGAGACGGACCCACACAAACACTATTGTTTAATTTTATTTTACATCGAGTTCATATAACAAGGTAACATATACGTTCATTCTAGGTGAGTGTTTGTTAAACGTAATTTTTAACCGTGAATGTTTTTAAGCGAGTTCAAAAACAGTTCCAAGGTTGTCAGTTTAACCTGTATGTACGTGTATTTGTCCAAGACTATCTCACGCATAACTGAAACTATTTTGATGAGGATTTTAGATTATTGGAACACTGAGGAGCAGGTCTTGGTATGGTAGGTAACGGACTTCGAATTTTAAAACGTAGTTTAATGAACATTGTTATTTTATTTGTTAGCGTAATCGGCAAACGTATCCCCACCGTGATATCTACTTAAATGAAGAAAACATGACATATAATGTGTTTGTTAAATATATTGCTATGTAACCTTGTATCGTGACTTTTATTCACTGATATAGTATCTACATCATATAATAATTACCTAAATGCCTATGTATAAAATAATGGAATCCATTAAAGATGTAGTTAAATGAAATTACAGCCATAATTACTACAATGATTGAAATATGTTTTTAAAATAATTGATTATTTATTAATATCTTTACCTACTTATCTAATCATTTTATTGAAAACTTTAATTTGTTCATGGTGATAATTAATAACCAAATGCAATTAAAAAGCTTTTAATGGATCTTGTTTTTGACTGCCTTGTTGGCCTAGTGGAGGCAAGTGCGACGGCGGCAAGGGGTCTCGGGTTCGATTCTCGGGTCGGGCAAAATATTACCTACTGGGTTTTTTTTAAATCCCAGTAGTAGCATGAAGTCTGGAATTGTGCCCGGTATATGGTAATAGGCTCACCCCATATTACATGGGACTCAACATAAATAGTGAAAAGTGGGTGTTACATTGTACAGTGGCATTTAGTGCCGTAATGTGCACCTCTGCCTACCTACGACGTGCAGGAAAAGGATCGGGGTGGTTTTTAGTCAGTAATTATTATTACTGGTACACTACTATCGACGCCTCAGTAACAAGGTAGACAATCCCACTACACTAGCACGAGTGGGGTTAATGGGAGTTCCTAAACGATATATCGAGGCTGGTGATGGCACAGAAGGACCGCGTAGGCGGAGGAAATTATTTGCTATGCCACCAGGCGTACGCACAAAGCGAGGTGCTGCAGCACCAACGGCAAGGGCGATGGGTCTCATGAACTCGATAATAACTCAGCACCCAGAATTAGATGTGTTCCACGATAAGTCGTATGTCATACGAAAATTAATGTATAAGTTTTTAAATATAAATCTCAATAATATAGGAACAGGAACTATATAAGTGATTAATATTGTAATAGGTTTAAGTTTCTTTTTGTATCCTAGAATGTAAGTATTTTGGCTCTTGCTGTAAACTTTCATTTTAATGTAAATAAATAAATAAAGAGTCTGACACTCCTTCTCGCCTCACTCAGGCGGGAGCAGCCATTCGATGATTTTCCCCCCTTAAAAACCTTTGGGGGTAAAAGACGTGATGTTATGTATGTTTACGTTATGATTTTGACAGAAATTCAATAGACCAACGACAATAGATCGATCCAAGAATTTGAATTGAGACTGATTTATGATTAGCACCGTGATATCATTATTATAGCATAATTTTAATAAAGGTACCTAACTGTATGACTAACTGATGCTTCCGTAAGGGATATTTTAGTAATTTATGTCCATTATCATTTCTGAATAAAGATTATACAAGGTGTAGTTTTGAAACCGTGTCATTTTTCGGGGACATGTCACAGAAAGTGTGGGAGTAAGTGTGGGGTGGGAGAGCCATGCTTCGGCACGAATGGGCCGGCTCGACCGGAGTGAAATCACGGCCTCACACAAAACCGACGTGAAGCAACGCTTGCGTTGTGTTTCGTCGTGTGATTGTCGTTACCGGAGGCCCAATTACCTTCCCCTTCCCCAATCTCCCTAATCCCTGAATCCCCAACGATCTTCAAACTCCTAATCCCCAAAAAGCCGGTGATGCACTTGTAACGCCTCTGGTGTTCCAGGTGTGAATGGGCGACGCCGATTGCTTACCATCAGGAGATCCGTCTGCTCGTTTACCGGCTTATGCCATACAAAAAAAAAGTCATAAAGGTTCAATGTAAGAGAAAATTTCAGGCCAATAGTTAAAAATACGGCTATAATAAATCGTTTAAGTTCGACAATATTTCAGAATAAGCGACAGCAATGTATCTTATTGGAGTTTTATGGAATTAGGAATAATATTGATATTACGTAATTGATTACTTGTTCGAGTTTGTGTGTGTTAAGCCGCGTTATAAAGCTAGTTAAAAGGCGGCGGCGCGGCATGTACTTCGCACTTACGGATTTCCGGAATTTCAGAAAAATGAAAAATATTTACCTACAATTTTTTTATTGATTTGTACTCAGAATCGATATCTGAGTTACCAACTAGAAAATGACGCGGCTTTAAAACAACACCTTGTATATTTATTTGTTCATTTGGTCGTTAGCTAATCATGAATGATGATCTTTAAACTGTCACGTGCCTACGCAGATCTATGCGAGGCACAGAGTATTTTCTATTTTTTTTTTTTTTTTATGGAATAGGAGGCAAACGAGCAGACGGATCACCTGATGGTAAGCGATCAGCGCCGCCCATGGACACCCGCAACACCAGAAGAGTCACAGGTGCGTTGCCGGCCCTTTAAAAAGGAGTACGCTCTTCTCTTGAAGGTTTGAAGGTCGTATCGGTTCGGAAATACCGCCGACGACAGATCATTCCACAGTTTTGCTGTGCGAGGCAGGAAGCTACGTGAGAACCGCACAGTTGTGGCCTGCCAACCATCTATATGATGGGGATGCATATGCTGTCGTGAGGGTCGATGGCGAAAAGATGCGGCAGGTATCAGGTCAAACAATTCCTCAGAGCACTCCCCGTGGTATAAGCGGTAGAAAATGCACAATGAAGCTACATCTCTACGCATTGCCAAAGTGTCGAGCCGGTTTGAAACACCCGGACATCCAACAATCCGAACGGCACGCCGCTGAATGCGGTCCAGAGGAAGAAGCTGGTACTGGGGTGCCCCCGCCCAAAGATGAGAACAGTATTCCATGTGGGGCCGCACCTGTGCCTTATATAGAAGCAGGCGGTGGGTCGGGGTGAAATACTGCCTCGATCTATTGAGCACACCAAGCTTCCTCGAGGCTAATTTGGCCTTATCCTCTAAATGACCGCAAAACTGGACGTCGCTCGAAATATTGACACCAAGTATTCCAATACCGGCTGAGGCAGTTAGGGGGGTGCTTTGAAACTGAGGAGAGACGACCAACGGCAGTTTCTTAGCGGTAAACACGCAGACTTGTGTCTTAGTGGGGTTAAATTGGACCAAATTAAGTCCACCCCAATCAGAGATTCTCCCTAAAGAGGTCTCGATTTCAGACACGAGTCTGTTTCGGCTCTCTATGACGTTTTCCCGAGAAATGTTAGCGCGGCCGGTGTAGTAGGCATCGCCTGTGCTGTCATCCGCATAACAATGAATGCCGCTGATTTGCAGCATGTCATTGATATGGAGGAGGAACAATGTAGGCGATAGCACGCAGCCTTGAGGGACGCCTGCATTTACAGACATCAAGTCAGAGCATTCACCGTCGACGACGACTTTAATGCTTCTGTCTGCAAGGAAGTAGGAGACCCATTTGCATAATTTCTCGGGAAGTCCGTAGGAAGGAAGCTTCGAAAGAAGCGCTCTATGCCAAACCCGATCGAAGGCCTTCGCCACGTCTAAACTTACTGCCAACGCTTCCCCTTTAGACTCGATCGCCTGTGCCCACCGATGCGTTAGGTAAACAAGGAGATCACCAGCAGACCGACCTTTACGAAAACCGTATAACTGGTCACTAAGCAGCTGATGATCCTCTAAGTAACGCAGGAGCTGGCAGTTAATAATGGACTCCATTATTTTCGAGAAGAGGGAAGTTATGGCTATAGGTCTGTAGTTAGACGGGTTAGATCGATCACCTTTTTTAGGGATTGGGTGGACTAAAGCTGTCTTCCAGGACGTCGGAACTACGCCTGAGGAATAAGAGAGCCGAAAAAGACGTGTGAGAACTGGGGCCAACTCGGGGGCGCACATCTTCAAAACAATGGGTGGGTTCCCATCAGGCCCGCTCGACTTATGGACGTCAAGTCTATTGTGTCTTATTGGCCATTCAAGCTGTTATTTTTCTATTACCCATTATAAGTCTTTGATATATCGTTATCTTTACCCTTGCAAACTTATATTTTTATTAATATTTATAAAAAAAACGTAACCTACACTGCAAATTGTGGTATTATGGATGAAAATCACACCCAGGCTTGAAATATCAATTTGTGGATCACATAAAGTATTGTTTCATACAGGAATCGAACCAGTGGCATGTTGCGCAGCCTAGTTAGTCCTTCCACTGCCTGAACCGGGCTAGTAGACTACTCAATTTTTAAATGGAATACTTTTAGCATACTTCACGCTTCTTATTTCCTGAAGGGTCTACCGATACTAGACATGTTTCGAAGCTGGTCTGTTGAGTGGGAGGACCTTATGGACCTATTTGGCACGAGCCAAATAACTTTCTGCGAAGTGAGGATTATGCTATCCGTTGTTATGCAAATCAAATACCGTTGACCACCAGTGGTTTGGTGAGATGTTGTTTTGCTAATATAATAAACCACATTATAGTTCGGTAGATTCCGCGGATACTGCACGATATCCGGGGAGCCGGAGAACC